TGGCTCCCAAGCTGTAGCTTATAAGGATGGCCCCAAGGACTTGTTAAAACCCAGATTGCTGGGCTCCACTTGCCCCCAGAGTTTCTCATTCAAGAGGTGTGGGGTAGGGTCTGAGAATGTGCACTTCTAACAAGTTCCTAGGTGCTGTTGCTGATGCTGGTGGTCAGGACCACACTTGGAGACCCACTGATCCAGTGGTTTCCCCACTGTTTAGCACACCTCTTATGGACAAGCCCCCCCATCCCTATCCTACTCCCAGCCTGGGTCAGCTCCTCTTGAAATACCCATCTTTCCTCTTTAACCTGAAAACTCTACGAGGGCCGAGACTTGCCACATGTTTATTCCACACTCTATCTGCAGGGCTTCGCAGAGCCCCTAAGGATGTAATAGGTGGACAACACATGTGTGTTAAGTGAATGAATGAATTGAAATCATTAGTTTATTAAGCCTCTCCCCACAATGCTAAATTCTTTAAGGCCAGGACCTCTAGGTCCCTAAATCTCTTTCTTCTCCATCTCCATGGCCACTAGCTGGTCTCTTTGGCCTGTCTATTGCTCTGTAACTGGTCTTTCCAGTTTTGCTCTCACCCTTCTTCTAGTCCCTTCTCCCTAAGGCAGACAGACTGATAATCTAACAACATAGATTGGAAAGATTGGCAACTGCCTTGATTTCTATCAATAAGAGGCTGGTTAAATAAATTATCATGCATCTACGTCAGTGCATGAAGAATTTCTTAATTCTTTCTTAAAGTTGCATACCCTCTCTTATGGACGTCATTCAGTTAAATGCTATAGCATTGGAGGGGTAGGGTACTTTAGTATTACTAAATGATGCATTCTAAATCTCTATTTCATAGATCACGTTTCCACTAAAGCTTTTTTTTTTTTAATTACTAGTTTTCTATTGATATAAGTTGTGCCTGGATCTTCAGTAAAGTATTTGAGGATATCAAGGTACTCATTGGTGGAGGGCTTCTTGTGGAAACTGATGAAGGAATTGCAGAGTCAAGTCAAGCTGGATTTCGTTGGCCTTGCTTAAGGACTTGAACTTTATTCTACAGACAATAGGAGATGTGGAAATGCACAAAGTGGGGGAACCATGGTTGATTCGCATTTTAAAGAAACTCCTCTGCCTGCAATGTGGTGCTTGGCTTTAAAGTAAGAAGGGAGAACAGCCAGGAAACAGTCAGATGAGCAGTAATGAGGGTCTCAGCTCAAGAGCAATGGTAGCAGGGTTGGAGAGGAGGGGAAGATACAGAGGCAAAACTGACCAGATTTGGCTTTTGACTGCATATGGGGTATGAGTCACACGGGTATGCTTGTGTGCACGAGTGCGGGCACACGTGCGTAAGAGAGAGCATGCATGTGGTTTGTGTGTATGTTTTTTTTGGTGTGTGTATGTTATGGAGGTGATGCTTGTGAGAATCAGTAGGATTAACAAGGACTCCCTAGTTCCTGGCTGCAGTAACTGGATAGTTGGTGGTGTGGTGTATCTAGTGTTAGAACACGGAGCAAGCAGCTTTTGGAGTGGTAGAGAAGAGGAATTCAGTTTGGGCTGTGTGGATTTTGAAACGCTCATAAGAGGATCCTGCAAAGAGGTGAATATTCCAGTCTGAGGCTCAGCAAAGAAGCCAGAGCAGGATAAGGTATATATTTGTGATGTTGGTGTACTCAGATGGATCATCCCAGAAGGGCAGGGACTGAAATCCAAAGGGTTTGGAGATCACCGATGCTTGGAATCACCAGGCAGAGGCTATAGATTCTCGGGGGAGTTAGAACAGGAATAGTGAGAAAGGATGGAGGCGCACTATAGTGAAGGTGAGAGCAGGATCCGAGACCAGTGACAGGTCAGATGAGTTGATTGCTGCTGACGATTGCTGACGATGACTGGAGAGAAATCACAGTGACATGGAGCAGAAATCTGAACACAGTGTGGAGAGGAAGGGGAAGCCAGGGAGGGGGGATCAACCCTATCAGTAAATTCAGATGCAGAAGGACAGAGAACGATGAGGCTGCAACTAGATGTTTCCATCTTGGGTTCACTGAAAACATTGCTCAGTTTTTGTTTGCTATGCAAACTGAAGGAATTATGTAAGCACTTTTATAACACCACCTCATCACGTTACCACTGAAAAATCTTGAAAATTTTGAAAACAATACAACAAACCGCAAGCTTAAAAAAATAGGAGAAAAAACCCCACTCCATTTCTTTGATTTTTGTGTCATTTTCTTCCAAGCTGTGTGACAATCATTGCAGGGAGAAAGATGGGTGATCATTTTAAACACTGTTTTAAGCATCTGCTAAGGCCACCTGGCAGTCAGATTCATTAAATATCGGTGCTGATAGGGACGGCATGGATTGCCTTTCTAATATCACTCTGCAGCTGGGTGACCTTGGATAAGTCATTTCACCAATGAGGAAGCTGCTGTGGTTTCTTATCAGTACAATGAGGCCCTTGGATGAGGACATCTGGAACAAGGCAGCTGTGGAGGACTCCACTGAGTTGATCCTCAGATGGGCAGAGCTTAAGAAGGAAGTGATGAGAACTGGGGACATCCTCTCCCTTTCACACCTTTGCACTTAATGTAGCAACTTGCTGTTTTGTGCCAGGTACCAAATGCCAGCGCATCACAAGTTGCATGGCTGATTAGACTTCTAAAAGTTTGCTGCAATCTTACTTTCGTAATGGATTTCTGCAAGGTCAAAGTAAGATTGCTTTCAGAATGATCTGTGGTTTAAAGCAGCAAAAATTTAGAAAGTATGGATTCACAACTGGGTTTTCCTATTAACTATTAATTACAAACCACTGTCAAGCCATAGTTCTCAATCCTTAGCTGCATCAGAATCACCGGGAGAGCTTGTTAAAATTCAGAATGCTGAGCCCCAGCAGCAGAGTTTTTGATTCAGTGGGTCTGGGGTGGAGCCTGAAAATTTGCATTTCTTGTAGTTCCCAGGTAAGGGATGCTGATGCTGCTGGTCCAGGGCCCACACTTCGAAAAACTAGTGTAGAAGAAAGACCCCTGGCCTCAGATCCCAGGTCACTCAAAGTCTCTGAGCCTCTGTTTCCTCATCCATGAAATGGGGACATCCAGGCCCAACAAACCCAGTGCTTAGAATTAAAAAAAAAAAAAAGAAAGAAAGAAAAGAGAAAACCAAGGTTCTTCTTCTTTTTTTTCCCCCTGCATTTTTTCCAAGCTGTGCGCAGGTGGGCAGGGAGGAGGATCATTTTAAGCACTATTTCAAGCATCCGCTAAGTGACCTGTCACAATTTCTTAAATCTCTTTGCTGGGAGGAACTGTGTGGATTGCTTCCTCCAACCTACATCTACAGCTGGGTGACCTTGGGCAAGTCCTTCACTCTGGCGGAAACCTCTTCTGTTCGCATCTCATTGGGCAGAAATGGATCATGTTGCTACCCCTAGAACCACCCCATTAAGGTCTCTGTCTTCTGCCTTAAGACTTTAAGGACGTTGATGACTGGGTCTGCCTTCTATCAATTTTGTGGGGAGACCTGGGCATATTGCTGCATAATGATCAGAATTTAGACAGAACTAGTTTCAAACTTGGCTATGCCATTTATTAGCTCGTGAACTTGGACAAGCGACCTGAACTCATGGAGACCCAACATCTCATGATTAATATGGAAATAAAAATACAACTGACTTTCTGGGATGGCTATGGAGATTAAGTGATATCAGGGATATAGATGCTTGGCATGTTTTTGGACATATAGTAAAGAATCAATAAATGGTCGTCATCATGTACTTGGAAATGCCCAAAATAGAGAGGTGGTTACTCAATAATTCCTGGAACCCACCTGAGCTAAATCATGACCAAGCAGTTAGGGTATTAAAGCGATAACTCAAAACACCGAGAAAAAGAACGAAAGCAAAATAGCCCCTCTTTCCCTAAACGAAACCTCTGAATGTTCCCTTGTGGGCGGCAATGGGTGGGATGTGGGCCGACCCAGGAAGATGAGAAACAGCTGGCATGTCACGGGGAAGCCCCGGCAGAAGCCGTCCGGTCCACCTGCAGCAGCAGTTTCTGCAGCACCCCGCTTGCCAGATCCTAGAGGTGAAGAAAAGTCAGAGCAGCCGAGAAGGGAGAGGGAGGGGGAGAAAGGAGAGAGCTAGTCAGACTTTGCAATTATCTCCCTGACTGTTTAGAATGTAATGTTCCTCTCTGCCCTCTTTCCTTTTCACGTTGTAATTTTCTTCACGGAAAGAATACAATGGAGAACATATTCCAGACTGTCAAGAGCTTGCTACTAACTCCAATGGCCCCGACATGGGTACAGATAAGGAGAAAAACGGAGGCAATTTTTTTTCCCCTGCAGAGATTTCAGAGATTGAAGCTAAGACATCCAGTTGCATTTGAAAATCGCGTTACCTGCCCACTTACTGGTTTCGGTATGATCTGTCCCCGCTGTTCCGTGCTCAGCAAGTTTCAATAGCTGCTTTCCTTGCTGGGGGTTGATGCTGTACCATGGGATTCTCGCTTTACCCGCACGCACTGGAGAGGATGGGCGAGTCAGCCTGGGCTGCGTGGTTTGCTCTACCTGGGTTCCCACATGAGGGTTTAATTGTCCACATTTTCTTCTCACCTGTCTCCAGGAAGTGGGGAGAGAGCGCAGAACAGAGGTGAAGAGAGCCATGAGGACACAGGTGCCCTCTCCCTTCCCTGCTGATTCCCTCCATCTCCTCCCCAACTTCCTTTTTCATTCTCTCTCCTGTCGTTCTGTTCCTAGCCTGATTTTTCCCAAGCTTTCAACTTTGAGCTCAAACGAGCAGCCAGGCTGCATTTGGACACAATATCACCAAGTTGCCCTCCAGAACAGTTGTATATTTTCTCCAGCAGAACATGAAAGCGTGTGAAGCGAGAAGATCCATTTTCTTATCTCTTTGTACTCATGTGGACCTGTCTGATGGAGTAGCTTTCCCAGGATATCTCTTAGCGCCATTAAATAACTTTAATGCTGCCCTGCTAAACCTTGTTTTCCAGGAGACCCCATCATCTCTGAGAGGCCACATGGAGCAAAACACAGTCATCTGAACCAAGGGCTTCTTAGACCAGCCAGCCCCCAGCTGACCCACTAGCAGATCACTGATGCATGCGTGAATCCAGTCAAGATGAGCTGAGCCCAACCTATATCAGAACAGTCCATCCGACCTACCAGCTAAAGAGAAGGAAGAAAAGTTTGTTGTTTACATTGTTGCCATTTATTGACCATATACTACGTGCCAGAAATTGCTAAATTCAGAGAACACAATGACGTACGGAATCTGATCTCTGCTCTTGAGTAGGTCAAGAGCATTCAAAGTGAGATTAAGATGGGAAAGGGCTACAATGTCTATTTGACAGATGGGGAAAACTGAGGTATGAAAGAGTGCTACAGTTTGCTTAAACGGGGACTGAGACATTGCGGTTGCGCTACGAGGAGAAGGCCAGAACTTGGCCGTCCTTAATGTAAGCATTTACTCAGAGGAAAACTGTTAATCAGTTGGAAAAATGGAAAGAACACTTCCTTTGCAATCTTCGCCTCTCCTTTCAAATTTTTATTTTAACTTGCACTTATTTGGCAATGTAGGAAATATAAAAAATGTGCCCTAGCTTTGCTTACATTTTACATGGAGAGAGGAGATATAACTGCCCAGAATTTCGATAACGATGCAAGAGTTTAAGGCCGATATTCACCAGCTAAAATGAGATGATCATTTTGAATTATACTGTCCCCCAATAGATCACGGTCATATCCACCAGACTTTGAGCTCCTGGGACCTAGGACCTGCGTCTTGCAGCTAGCAGGGAAATGAGTCATTGAGATAATTAGGCATACAGTTTGCTTTTGCTTTAAGAGGACCAATTCTAAATGGCATTCCTGTTATATTTCCTTTTGTTTTTTCGTTTGTTTTGTTTTAACTTTAACGAGTAGAATCAGAGCATTTCATGTCTATCATGGGGAGGAGAACTGACATTTGTCAAACACTTGCCACATTCTAGGCCCCATGTCAGGCCTGTTATGTTCTTAATGAATTTAATCCTCACAGTGACCATACGAGGCAGATTTTTATCTCTGGCCCTGTACAGATGTCAATACTGGGCCTCTCTGAGTAACCTGTCAAACTTCACACAGTAAGTATGTGGAATAGAATTTTTTGACTTAAAACTTATTTCCTCGCTCCATGCTAACACTCTACCTTGAATCTCAGCTGGATCAACCCCTTACCTAGTGACTTGTAAATCTTCAATTTGAAAAGTTTTGCAATGAAGGGAGAGAGGAGGAAAGCCATAGTTTAGAAGAGGACTCACACATTTTCAGCTGGAGAACAGTGGGAGCCCCAGAGATTATGGAGTCGCCGTGGGATAGATTAGCATGTGGGGTATGTAATGACAGGGTCCCCAGACATTCCTGGATTGAAGAGTTTGTGCATGTCTTCCTGCTTTCACCAGCTGTACTTGCCTCTGATTTAATTATATGCTCAGGGTACAGATGCCTCTAGAATTGCAGGCCGTCGCTTGCTTCCCAGGAAGGGTTATTGGTTAGATGACGCTCAGCTTATGGAATGCAGAAAAAAATAGATGTTGGCTTGTCCCTTAGCAGTGGAGATACATTTGAATCATTGTGAGCCAAGATTCATTCATTAGTTCATCCAAAAATATTTATCGATTACTTGGTGGACATTTATATTTTTCTTCACCTTAACAGGAAAGTGGACAGAGTATTCCATTATCCTGGTAGAATGATTAGTCCAGAGCATATATTTGGCCTGGGATATAAGCCAAGCAAGAGTCCAATATAGGGAATTAACACGGACACTCAGAGGAACAGTGTCTCTCAGATCTTGAGCTGAAAAGATTTTGAAAGACTGGGGTTGCCAGGGGTCACTTTACTCACCATGCTAAGAAAATCTGCCTGAGAAGGAAGCTGACACAGAGGAAAGCAGACCCAAGACATGGAGAGAGAGGAAATATTTGAACACCTGGATCCTGCCATGCCTGAATCCCTTGACTTTTGTAGCTACATTGAACAGATTCTCTCACGGCACTCAACACTAGAATTGGGAGCTGGAAACAGGAGGAATATGAATTCCTTTCCTTTGCCTAATTTAGATAAGTGTCTTCAATTTGTATGGGAAGGACGCAGAGCAGTCTGTCGGAGACATCGCTGATATTATAGAGCAAGCAGAATGTTTGGAGTCAGAGCTGTGGGTTTGAATCTAGTCCTTGAATTCATTCCTTTAAAATCTAATTATGGGACCTACTGGTCTGGTCCCAGGAGTTGGGACTATAATAAGCTGTTTTCTCATCCCACAGTCAGCTCCCAGTCTGGTGGGGCATGCGAGCTTACTAAGTGGCTGCATAATTTAAAGAAATTAGTTGACCTCCTGACCCTCAGTTTCTGAGCTGTGAGAAGCAAATGAACTAGTGGATATGAAAGCATTTTGTAAATTGTGAAGAGCCCACGCCCAAAAGCTCTGCAAGTGTGGGGCCTGTCTTGATAACCACTGACCAAGTACCCATGTACTTAATTAAGTACCGAGTGCCTGACGATCATGTGGTTAATGCTCAACATGCTTGTTGAAAGAACACAATAACTTGTGCTATTTAGCAAATCCTTTTAGCTAGATGCTCAAAAATTCCTTTTTCTTTTTATAACCTAGCTTAAAATGTATCACTAGAGAGAGTCCAGCTCCCTTGACCATGAGAAACTCTAATCCGGAGGGTCCCTGTGGACATTTTAGTCCCCTCTGTACCAGTTAACTATTGCTGCCTAACAAACCATTACCACACATGCTAAAAAAATCCCAACTATTTATTATTTTTCTTGAGTCTATGGGTCAGCTGGATGGTCCCAGTAATGTGGGCTGGTCTGGGCTGATCTTATCTATTCTCATGCATCAGACGCCAGCTAGTGGGCCAGCTGGGGAATGGTCTGTATAGGATGGCACCACATGGAACGACTTCAACAGGCCAGTCTGGGTTCTGTTCATGGTGGTAGTATGTTTCCAAAAGTCTGCAGCATTGCTCAAGGCCTCTTGAAGCCTGAGCCCAGAACTGGCCCAGTTCCTCCATATTCTGTTTTCCAAAGCAAGGTCTAAGGCTAGGCCAGAGCCAGGGAGTAGGAACATAGACTTCACCTTTTGATGGGAGGAGATGTAGTGTCACGTTGCAAGTGGTACAGATCCAGGGAGGAGAGAAATTGGAGAGTGTATGCAATCAATCTATCAAATATCCTTTGAGCTAAGGTGGGAAAGTCATTTAAAGCTGTAAACTCAGAAAAGGAAAATGTGGATTCTCTCCTCTCTTACCTCTTTACCTGATCCCTTCTCTTTTTGCCCACTGACACTGCCCTGGCGAGGTTTTCGTGATCTCTGTTGCCTAGACAATTGTAGTAGCTCCATACTGATCTGCCTGCCTCCAAAGCAATTTGACAAACATTTCTTTAGCGCCTTCTATCTCCCCAGTGCTGTGCTAAGCTCAGAAGAAGAAACAGACGTTCTAAGAATGTAGTCCTTCTTTCTGGCCTCAGCCCAGAAGGAAGGACAGACATTTTCCACCCGTAAGACAGACTGATAAATGCTTTTATGCCTTCTCACTGCACATTCCTCTCCACTTGGTCATCAAGGTTAATTTAACAAAGTTCTCCGTGTTGCCTACAATATAATGGGCCTGTTTCTTATCTGGCATTCAAGGCATTCATGAATTGCTCCCAATCTCTCTTTCTAGGCTCTTGCCCCATTACTTCTGGGAGAGACACCAACTCTTCTATTGTATGAAATTTCCATTGTGTTCCACTTCCTATGTCCCTCAACTGTATTTCTTTGCATGTGTCATTTTCTCTCTCTCTATACGCTTACCCCTTCTCTCTACCTGTTGCAATACCATTCATGCTCACTTGTCAACCTCCTCTGAAGAGCTTTCCCTGCCCAACTGAGTTAGAATCATTGTCTTCTTTTTCTGTTTCCCTAATCATTGTTTTTTTGCTATAATGTCATATTCTTGGATTATGTACTATGCTGGATTGCAACTTCCTGAGTGCAGGTCTCAGCCTTGTCACCTGGATGTCCATCGAGTTACCTGGTGTGTCCGCCTCACAGTAGGTGCTGAGTTGATGCTGTTGACCTGAGTCGAATCACTTCCGCTTCCTTCCACCCGCTCTGCAGCCCTGCCTCCAATCTCAGAGCCGCCTAGAGTCACGGTCACTTTCCAGGACTCCGTGTGAGAGGCACTTGAGTTGAGATGTGCCCTAGGCTGCTGAATTGGCATGAGTTACAGGCCTAAAAAAAGTCCTGCTCTGTACTAGGGGGTCAGTTACTAATTGTAATTCCTTCTCTGGCCACTTTTCTGAGGCTTGAACTCAAATTGCCTTACTCACTTTATTTTTAGGTGTCTGACAGTTTAAAAGAGGGCTGGTTTATTATTATACTATGAGTAGCCCTCGGAAACTGGGTGCCCTGATTATGATAATACAAGCTGTTCAGATGAGATTCTTCTTTACTCCAAGTTTGAAGCCCCGTGTTTTAGGTGAGTGGCCTTCAGACTTCAGTGTGAGTAAGAATCATCCAGAGCATTTGGAAGCATGCGGATTCCTGGGCGTTACCTCCAGAGTTTCTGAATTCCTAAATCTGGGCAGGACCCAGGACTATGTAATTTTCTCTGGCTCCCAGGGGATTCAGCTGTTGGCTGCCTACACTTTGAGAAAAATTACTATAGAATTATAAGCATCAGACAATGAAGAAAAACGTTGGCTGCAGTTGGGCAACTGACGTGATGCCAAAGTTATCATCACATCCCAGAGACCAGGGAGGTCTCCAAATACCTCTCTTTTTGCCTTGCCACTCCTCTGCTCAAGAACACTCAATGGCTCCATCTTTCCTCTGCTGGATCAAGTCCAAACTCCTCCCCATGCCATTCCAATCTCGACTCAGCTGCTCCTTGATGTCTCTCCTTCTGCAGGATGGAGATTTCATCTCCACGGCTTAGCTTTCTGCTTTTTGTGTCCCATCTCTTCTTCTTCATTAAGAATCACCAAAATTTGATTGGATGTTTTCCATATATCAGCCACTGTCCCATACATCAGTTTATTGAATCTTCAGCTCGGTCCTGGGATAAAGGTATTACCGTCATTCCCATCGCTGCTGCAGATGAGTTTCTGTGACTTGCCCACGGTCACACAACTGGCAAGTGGAGTTCAAACCCAGAGTGATGATCTAAGCCATTGTCCACGTGTGTGATACTGTGATGTTTAGGTGAAGTTATACAAATCACTTTCTTCCTTCGAGACTCAGTCAAGTACCCTCCTGAACTGAGAAGTAAACCCCCTTTTTCCTCATCTGTAAATTGGCTGTGCCTGCCTAGCTCGAAGGTATCTGTGAGGATCAAGGGCCGTCAGGTACCGGATGTACTGTGTACGGTGTCTGGCACAATCTGGGTGACCAAGTGGTACTACTGGCTGGATGCCATTCCCCTAGAAACCCACATCAAGTCTTTTCAGGCAGGAGAGATGAAAATAGTGTGGCTTTTGAGGAATGATGAGATTAAATTACCAGAAAAAATTCTCTGGCATCAAAGCACGATTTCCCCTTTTTCCTGTGGGTCAGAGGTATCACTCAAGAATAAAGATGTGAGGAACCATCCTTCCTGCTGAAACATTTTTTATCTCCTCTTCAAAGAGTAATCTCAGGGCAGCCACAGCCATGGAAACACAATGTGGCAGGTGTAACTGTGCTGGGGATTAGAGGCCCATTTTCTCCCAGCAGGAGGAGAAAAGCTGCGGTCAGGGAAGATGAATGGACCGGGGCTGTTTTGTCACGGTCTGCAAAGAGCACATTCTCCCAGCGCCTCGATCAATCAGGGCCTGGTATTGAAGGCCCTCTGCTATCACTTTTGAGTGACTTGCAGCCCTATTGTGTCACCAGTGAGGGACTTCTCATCTGCTTGGGTGACCCAAAAGTGTGATGAGGCTTGCAGTAGGGCCTGGCCCACAATTAAGAGCAGATTTATTTGTTTCTTTGTTCCTTCGTAGCAGCTGGAAATGGGGGATACGTGGAGCTTTCCTTAAGAAGAGCTGCCTTGCCTGTGTTTTCACAGTTTTGCCCGTTCGGTCAAGTGTGGATGAAGCTGTTACTCTGGTCTCTCATAAGGAAAGGGTAAGATGCAGAACCGGGAGACAACGCTGCGTGCTGCATGCACAGGCCATCACTGTGGGGAGAAGTGAAGGGGTGGGCTTTGAGGGTGTGGATTCAGATCCTGGTCAATGGCAAACCACTCTCTGCCTCAGTTTCCCAAAACTGTAAAATGAGCTTGATCATGCATACCTCGTAAAGGTGTGGCAAGGATTAAAAATACGTAAAACATCTGATGTATGGTGAGACTACAGTATGTGGCAGTAGAGGACAAAATCCAGATTCAGACTCTATCAGCATTTTCCGGGGTGTTCAAGTACAAGGTGGCTGTTCCTTCATTTCGTTTGTTTCCTAGGAGCCTCGTGTGTGGTGGGCATGAGGTCAGCCTCTGAGGACATAAACCTGATGGAGACGCAGGCCTCATGAGGAGTTCACGGTGAACCTACAACCAGCGTTTATGGAGCACCGGTGTGCCCGAAGGAAAACAGAGCCCAGATAATTTAAAGGACTCACATGCGCTCCCAGAGCTAGTAATTTCCGGAATCCATAACCAGGCCTCCAGATATGACATCCAGGGCTTTTTCCAGGGACCAGCAACTCCAGTTTTAAGAAAAGAGCAAAGCCAGTTACATCGTTCCGCACAAAGGCCCTGCTAGAGCTGAGCTACCCAGAGACCAGACCAGAGTGGATTACTGAATATAACTAACCAAATAAAAGTTAACTGAAGGACTAAATGTGATCACATGGAGAATGGACTCATCTCTTGCCAGGACTGAGCTTCTCATCTACTGGCTTGGGGAGCATTTGGCTGCCTTTTCCCCTTCCAGGCTGGGCAAACAGCTCATTCTGATGACCTGAGAGATGAGCCTCTGGTGATGTCAGTCTCCCCCTGGGCACGGGGGCCCATTATCACATGCACTTGACCTTCACTCTCCAATATGCTGGATCTCAGCTCAGGAGTGACTCAGCGACGGTGAGCCTGTGCTCCTCCTTCAGAGAGGGCTGTGGTTTTCCTCAGGACAAATGTTCCCAAATGTTCCTGCAAAATCTCCTTGCCAAGCCAGGTGCCTGAAGCCACAGCTCTCTGCCATTTCAGACCTAATTTAAGGTTTACTGGTACATTAGGGACAGGGAAGAAGTTCACTGAATTTGTTTCCCTAAGGAAACTAGGATGAGAATTTTTTACATTTGCTTCTGCAGATTCACTTTTTGCCCCCCTAAATTTCACTATGAAAATGTTCCAACATATAGAAAAATGGAAAGCACTCATACGCCAATCACCAAGATTCTACCATAATCATCTTACTATAACTTACTCGCCTTATCACATATTTATCTATTCATTTATCCCTCCATCCATCAATCTTATTACTATTAATTTTTTTTTTGAGGAAGATTAGCTCTGAGCTAACATCTGCTGCCAATCCTCCTCTTTTTGCTGAGGAAGACTGGCCCTGAGCTAACATCCGTGCCCATCTTCTTCTACTTTACACGTGGGATGCCTACCACAGCATGGTGTGCCAAGCAGTGCCATGTCCACACCCGGGATCCAAACTAGCAAACCACGAGCCGCCGAAGCAGAACGTGCGCATTTACTTAACCGCTGAGCCACCGGGCCAACCCCTATCTTATTTTTTACAAAAATTCCAAGTAAGCTGCAGACATCAGAACAATCTCCCCTCAATACTTCAGCATTTTATTATTATCTAGAGTTTAATATTTGTTTATATTCTTTTTTCTTTTGAGTATATAATAAAATGTACAAATCTGAGGTCTATCATTAATGACTTTGACAAATGCATATGCTTGAGTCATGCAAGCCTCTTACGAGATACAGAACATTCCTGGCACCCCAGAACATTCTCTCAAGTCTCAGTCCTTGTCCCCACCCTCAAGTCTCCACCCCAAGAAACCACTGCTTTTTGTTCTTACCACAATGATTAGTTCGTCCTATTCTAGAACGCCATATAAATTGAATTGTACTGTATGTTCTCTTTCGTACAAGCTTCTTTTACTCAGGCTAATGTTTTGAGTTTGGATTCCTAGGTATTAAACTAGAGCCCATGAAGATTGCTGTGAGAGTTAAAAGAGATATGGCAGCTAAAGTGATTAAGTACAATGCTTAGCACATAGTGGGCATGCCGTAAACCTTAACTACTGCTACTGTGATCATTGTTTATAATTATTATTTTGATTTCATCATGTTTGCTTGCGTTGGCTGTACTATAGACCCAGTCACCAAAGAAAGGTATTTATCTCAATTTCTTCTCTGGAAAGTTGACCTCAGAATATTCTAGATTCTAACATTCTGTGGTTCAGAGCTCTTTGGGGTTATTTCCCAGCTATATCTCTCTATACTTACTTTCCCATCTAGACCAGTGGCAGCATGAAAAGGTGCTTGATAAATCCTTTTATCCATTCTGGTGCTCTGTAACATGCTAAGCATGTAGGAGATAATTACAATCTCCATTTTACAGACAAGGATGCTAAGACTCAGGGAAGTAGCCAATAAGCAATAGAACTTGGATTTGAACCCAAGCCTGTCTGCTTTATAAATCACACGCTCTATTCTTGTCCTATGGTCTTTTGTGACTTACGTTAGGTACATATGGTGGTGACAAGTAAAGGTCCAGGTTGACAGCTGATGAAAGAGCTGGTATAAACAGTGACCAAGGTTAACGATAAATGGCTCCACCATGCATACCTAGTACCTTTGACATATGTCTGACTTGACCACGTTGGGCATTATTTTGGTCCTAAGGCAGCCCTGTGAGGTAGGTAGGCAAAGATTATTGTTGCTACTTTACAGGTATGGAAACTGAGGGTCAGGAGGGTAAGTGACTTACACAAGGTCGCCAAGCTAATGTGTGTCAAGGTGGTTCGCGGAGGTGAGGAATGGAAGGGGGATTTGTAAAGGGTCTCCTGATTTTCAAGTGAAGCCTTTCTAGGGGGTGCTCTTACTATTTGGAGAAATGACATGTTAATAAGAGATATCTGTGGGCAAATACATTTGAAATAAGAATATGATTCATTCGCAATCTTTCAAAAGAGGTTGTCAAAATAAATTCCAAGTCAACATATTTAAAAATATATTTATTGAGGTTTTCTATGTGCCAGGTACTGGACCTGGTGATCATGCATTTTCAGCAGACTTGCCGAATGAACGCTACCCAGGAGCGACGCAATGCCATCACACATCCTTCTTGGGAGCAACTCGAAAGCCTGCCTTTCGAGTTTACTTCTGTTACTCTCTCAGCTCAAGGCCTGAGTCATTTCACTAAATGAGTGTTCTGCCTTGGCCCTCTCCCAGTCAACAGCTGCAAGGTACCAGATTGGCACGAAGCAGGTGAGTGAAGTCAGCTTAAATTTAGCATAACAGAAATCTGTTCCTGTGGACTCCTGGGGACTACTCAGCATCCTCGGGACAGGGTAGTCACCTACACAGCCGCTGGTCCCAGGAGGGAGACCTTCTTTCAAGGATTAGCAAGGGCAGTGTGGTTTTCGTTTAGTCATCATCTGCGTGGTTGAATAGCATGACTGAACTCCTTGTTTAGAAAACAGCAGAGTGATCAGTGGGTGGACCCAGGGAGGAACGACAGGAACAGAAGGAAATGGGAACATGCACTTTACATACATTTCCACAGAATCCTAGGACCATCCTGTAAAGAAGGAGTACTTATCCCATTTCACTGTGTGGTAGGTGACGAGCGTGACCTACTCATGCTGGTTTATCTGGCAATTTTCCAGCTTTCACACACAAAGTCCCAGACCCCAGGAATCCCTCAGTCCTGGACAAAACTGGGTCATGTGAGGTGGATGTGAGGTTCTGCTTCTACTGCAAAGAGCGTGTTCTTAAACTTCGCGCTCTCCTGCTTCTCATCCATGAAGTCATCTGATCGTCCAAGCACTTTGTAATTTCAGGATGTTATACCCATTTTATTGATGGAGTAGCGGAGGCTCAGAGAGATTAATGACTTGTCCAGGGTCTAGTGACTAAGCAGCAGCAGAGGCAGGTTTAGCATTTAGCTCTCCTTGACTCTCAGCCTCCTCTACACAACTCTCCCAAAAGATGGGTTGAAAGGCGAAGACGGACAGGTGTGGAGAAGAGGCAGCGGCTGATCTGGGCACGCAATCATCTGCTCTTGAGAGCCTCATCTTGAGGGCACTTCCATTTTCAGTCTTTTAACCTTCTATTCCAGAAGGCCTTTATGGCTTTCTGACCATGGGTGTGATGCAGAGCAGCAGGGAAGGGGCGCCGTGAAGGATGCCAGTAAGCATGGCTGGATGCCAGGGGGTGCTGAGAGGAACCAACAGTGTCATGGTCATTATCATCAGCTGCCTAACAGACAGCCTGGGCCTGGGGTCAAGGCTGTGAGAGAGCGCCAGCTCAAAGAGGGCAGGGGACAGTGAGGGAGGAGGGCCAGAGGGGCAGGGCTGGACCTCTCCTGATGCAGCCGCTGATCAGTCTGAGGGAAGAGCCTTCCATCATGTGACTCTGATGTGACCTGACAGCCCAGACCAGCTGGCAGAAGCCACATACCCTGGGAGTGTCCTCTGTCCTAAGAAGGTCTTTCACAAGCGTGTCCCCTCTGCTTTTCTCCTTCCAGTGCATTTTAACATATCCCATTTGACATGGGTTGCTAATGCCCTACGTTTATTCACCCTCTCATTCAACATTTATTGCGTGCCCACTGTGCTGCAGGTCCCTGTGCGAAGTGCTGGGGAATGGGAGATGAATAAAGCATGGCTTTTCTCCTTAAGGATTGACTCCTCGTTAAGAAGACACGAGTGGAAGGAACTTACAGTGCCGTGGGTAAAAACAATGGGCTTCCAAGTTTCTCCTTCCCGAGTCTCCATCCTGGCTCTATGACCTTGGTCCAGTTGCTTAAAACTTTCTCTGAGCCTCAGTCTTTTCATCTGTAAAATGGAGTTAATAATGCTACCTCATAGTCTCTGGGAGGATTAAGTGCAACAGTACGTGTCCAGCGTTAGGTCCAGTGCCTGTTACCTAGTAATCAATCAATGAATGATAGTTATTTTTCCACTTCTACCGCTTACTATCTCTGTAAGCCTGGGCAAGTCAGTTTGTCTCTCTATGAATACTGCCCTTCTGTAAAATGGGTATAATGGTGGTAACTGTCTTACAAGAATGTTGAGATAATTAGATAATGATTGTAAGGCACTTAGAACAACACCTGGCATACAGTATGAATTGAATGTATGATAGTGATTATTACCAATACTCACGGTAACATGTGCTACAACAGATGTAGACAAAAACTAAGATACTCTAGGAGAGAATTCTAGGCAAATGGGTGGGAAGGCATTTCAGGGAGAGGGGCAGCATGCGTAAGATATGGGGGGATGTGAGGACAGATGGCATTCTAAAGGACTGGCTCAAATTGGAAGATCAGGGTCACACAATGGACAGAGGGTAGCCGGGTTTTAGAATGAGCCAGAATCCAGGTTCTGCCCCTTATTAGCTAGGTGACCTTTGGAAAGTGACTTAACCTGTCCAAGCTTCTGCCTCCTCACCAGTGACAGACAGCCAACACTTTCTGCTTTTTAATGTCAGTCTAGGCATGAAATGGTACAGCTTCTGAAATCGCTCAGCCAGTGCCCGGCACAAAGGAGGCCGTCCATAGGTGGCAGCTAATTATTATGATTTCTTAGTAGAGGACATGATGAAGGTTGTGGGGGACAAACGGAGTGAGACCACGCTGTGGGGGTGAATTGTGACTGGGCTGGGAGGAGCAGTTGATGACAATCTAAAAACAGGAGGCTTTTTTCTGGAAGCAGTAGGGAAGCACAGTACACACAACTCTCCTAGCCTCTCTTTTCATGCTGCCCTGGCTCCACTTCTCCCTGAGCCCAGCTTCTGAGCCCACATCCCTCAGCCTTGTCAGAGTCTAAATTTACCCTCATTGTAATTATTCACCCCGTCTCATCAGCAATGAGAGCAGAAGAACTAGTGCAGGCCAAAACGGGGAGGTGGGGGTAGGGGGGGGATGGAGGGAGGAGAGAAAGGAAAAGAAAGAAAACTTCAGACAGTAGGGCTGCCCAGTGTTGCGGGCATTGGCCCCTCCCCCTGAAATAACTCCTAAGGGCAGAGTTGGCTCATGTGTCTTTGAACGTTAAAATTAGAGTGAACCAAGATTAAATGCTCCCGAGAAACTGACCAGCCTCACATTTTTCTCCTCCCTCTCTCTTTTTATAACTATGACCACAGTAGTAATTCAATTGGAAACATATTCCATCCCTGATTGCTCCAAGACTGGCACTAGATCATTCTAGGGCTTGATATTTTTATTAAATGCACACTGCCACTATTTTCTGCTGGGGCTAAAAATACATCCGACTGAACAGCAGAGGCTCAGCTGGGGCCTCCTTGCTGTTCTCTCAGAGGCCAGACCAGGCAGGACCCACAGATTGACGAGCCTCCCGGTTAATTTAGGCAGCACTTTGTTTCCAAGAAAAACTGCCCCAGATACCAATATAACTGTAAAAATAAAGATGGAGTTCTGGTCTGAAAGGATGAACAACAGGAGTCTACCTTCTAACCTCGTTTACACTGAATCTGTTTTCACTTCCGGCTACCACATGTCACCATTTCAAAACGCTGTATGTACTTTCAAGCCTCCTAGTCTTTGCAGATGCTGTTCCCTTGCCTGGAATGCTGTTCCTCCCTCTCCTTCTGTGAGTTTGTGATCATCTCTTAGTCTCAGCTCAAGCACCATCGCGTCTTCTGAGCCTGTGGTCTGATGGAGATGCTCCTTGTCTGATTCCCTTGTGCTCCTGCTTACTCCTATCAGAACTCACCTTCTGCGTTATAATCACAGGTGTTAGGTCTGTCTGCCCATTAGACTTTGAGTTTCTTGAGGGCAGGGATCATGTCTTATTGACTATTATTCCTCAAGCACCTGTCACCGTGCTGGCCCAACAGGGCTGGGACTCGGGGAAGGCTTGTGTGGCATCAGGACACAAAATTTAAAGAGACGCTGCCTTCAGGCACTGACCCTGCACTTGAACGACTCTGAGAGTGGGCGCCTCCTTAAAGTCTGCATCCAAGGTTCCTAGCTTCTCATCCTGATCCCCACCCTGGGGCCCAAAGTAGTTGATCAACAAATGATTCTTGGACACAGGCAAGTCAATCACCTTTTCCTTTTGAAAGTTCTCTCCTCTGTTGGCTTTTATGTCAGCACACCCTTCTGGTTTCCTCCTACCAGTTCCTTCTCTGCTTTCTTCTCCAGCTCTTCTTCCCCCATCAGCTGCTGCAGTGTTGCTAAAGAGATGCTGCACTTCCATGCTCCCACCATATTGTCAAGGTCCTACCCATCGGTTCATTCAATCACTCATGCATCTCCTCAGACGCCATCAGTGGAGTGCTCATGGGTTGCGATGCGCTGTTCTCGGTGTTTCTGGTGAGGTAGAGAGAAAGCCAGAGAATGATCCTGCCTTCATGGAAATTATATTCCTACTGGAACATACAAACACTAGAATAAAAGACATATGAGAAAATGTGAGCTCTTACATTGTTCTATATTTATTGAGAGCAAGGGCCTTGCTTTATCCGTCTTTTTATTCTCAGCTTATCACAGCGCCTAGTAACAAATTATGGGCACAGTACCTGGATAAACGAATGACCATTTGAATGAATGAATGAAGACTCAGCTTACATGTAAACTTTCTATGAAGGCTTCCCTAAGTTCCCCAGGAAAAGTTCGATTAATTAATTCAGTCAACAAGTATTTATTGAGTGCCTCCTCTGTGGCTGGCAATGTTTGAGGCATCTTATAAACATCAGGATGCCTACCACTGTTTATTACGATTATTTGTTTATTTGCCTCTCTCCAGCACTCCTCAAGGGCAGAGACCTTGCCTAATTTATCTCTGGATCCCCCAACCTAAGACATCACCTGGCATCTTGTAGGTGCTTAAAAACTTTGCTTGAATGAGAATAGATATATCTTTTTTTTCCCTGAGGAAGATTAGTCCTGAGCTAATATCCATTGCTGATCTTCCTTTTGTTTTTTGCTGAGGAAGATTAGCCCTGAGCTAACCTCTGTGCCAATCTTCCTGCACTTTACATGTGGGTTGCTGTCATGGCATGGCTGATGAATGGTGTAGGTTCGTGCCCAGGATCCAAACCCGTGAACCTGGGCCGCCTAAGCGGAGTGTGCTGAACTTAACCACTATGCCATCCGGCCGGCTCCAAGAAAGATATTTTTAATAATTTACGAAAGTGTGAAATAACTACACCATACTATGGAGGGTGGGTGGTCTCTACTTCTCTGAAAATTTTAGAGTTAATGGTTTATTTATCTTAAAACATAATGAAATGCAAAAAATATCTAGGTTTGGAAGGGATCTTCATCCTCACTCTAAATTCCTTCCTAAAACTTTCCACTTTCTGTGACTTTAGAACATCATTTTTTTTTTCCTGGAATTACAAGGATTTTAGAAGGAAACTTTGTAAAATGCAGGAAGACTCGAAGCAACCCTGTCAATCTACAATGCCCCCAGTGCAATGGCTCTGATAGTAAAGGCAGAAGGCTTCAAATGGACTGTCACAAACCCTTTGACTAGATCCTGCGCTTACCCCATGGTTGAGACTTACGTTCCAGTCTTAGAGCTGCCCCTTACTCACTGTGTGACCTCGGGCAAACCATTCTCCTTCTCTGGGCTTAGTTTCCCTTTCTGGAAAAGCAGATTGTACTAGTTAATTGAGCCAAAGTCCCCTACATTTCTGGCACTTGGAGGAGTCCAGGAATCTTCTCCACTAGGGGGCTGGTTCATGAGAATCCTTCTTCTGCCTCCTGGTGGGTTAATGGACACAAAAATGATCTTCAGAGGAAGTACTTCCTGCTGCCTGAAGATGGTCAGTTCACAGACATTTATTGAGCATTTACTATGTACCCACATCTGCTGAAAGGGGATGTTATTGCTGAGATTGTGTTTCTACCCAATAAAGCTGCTGTTGAAGTATTTCAATCCCGTAACAAATTTCTGAGAATATGCTATGACGTAGTTGCTGCCAAGTGGGAGTAGAAGAGAAGACAGGGCAGTGAGCTTTAATTAGGGCTCACAGTCTAATTGAGGATTCAACACCACACAGAGCAAGAACTCAATAAAAGCTCTAAAGAGACTCTATTACATAAATTTTATTCTGAAGGGTGCCCAAGATCCATTATTTAAAAATCAAGAGGGAAGAAATTCCTGAGAACTTGAATCATTGGGAGAAGGGCTCATAAAAGAGGTGGAAGTTGAATTGGTCCTTGCAGGATGGGTCTCAAGGTTGATGAGGAGGAGAGGGAAGCCTCTGAAGTGAGCAGGCACTAGAGGTCCTTCTTTTCAGCCTCCAATTCTGTGCATGAGTTTCTTTTTCATTAAACTCACTGATCAGAAGCACAGACCTCTCTGAATTCTTGGGGAGATCTGAATCTGGGATCTGGGTCCAGTATCCAGGATTAGCTGGGGGCAGAGCCAGATATCTCATTGCTATAGTGCTGTGATCATCTGTGTGACATCCATCAAGATTCTGTGTGGGCAGGTGGCCTGTAAAAACTTTCTCTACCTTCCCTTTGCCTCTGAGTGAGTTGTAGTGAGGGCGAGTCTCTTAGAGGAGGAGAAGAGAAACACCTCCTTTCTCTCGGAGACCAGGAAGAGACGCAACATTCACCATCCTTTTCTACCTCACAGTTAGGCTTGTTTTTGTTCTTTGAGTCCTTGATACTCAAAGGGAGCGAGGGATCCCGTGAGAGTGAGTCCTTTGCAGTGGAGAGTGAAGAGAGCCCGACTGCTCATTTGGAAGCT